CCCCGAACCCCCCCGCCCAGCGGCGGCTGGCAGCGCCGACGGCAGCGACGCGGCACCAGTGACCAAGAAAGAGACGACGACGACAGGACCCATCGTAGTCCTCTGTCCTCGGCCCTGAGTGTCGGAATATTGACGGAACCAGACCTCAAATATAAACACTCTTCGCGTGGCGTCGCCTTCCTCCCGCGCTTTCCGTCGTCGTCGTCGCCGTCGCCGTCGCTGTCGTCGTCGTCGTCGCCATGGTCGCCGTCGTCGTCGTCGTCGCCGCCGTCGTCGTCATAGTCGTCGTTGATGTCGTCGTCGTCGTCATCGTCGTCGTCCTGATCGAGATCGTCGTGGTTGCTGTCGTGGTCGTCGTCATCGTCGTCGCCGTCTTCATCGTCGTCGTCGCCGTCGTCGCCGTCGTCGTGGCCGGCGTCGTCGTCGTAGTCGTCGTTGTCGCCGTCGTCGTAGTCGTCGTCGTCGTCGGCTTCGTCAGGGTCGTCCTCGTCGTTGTCGTCGGTGTCGGTGTCAGTCGTCGTCGTCGTCGTCGTCGTCATCCGAAAACTCTTCGTCGTCGTCGTCGCCGTCGTCGTCGACGTCGCCGTCGTCGTCGTCGTCGTTGTAGTTGCCGTCGTCTTCGTCGTCGTCACCATCGTCGTCGCCGTCGTCGTCTGCGTCGTCGTCGTCGCCGTCGTAGTCGTGCGCGTCGTCATTGTCGTCGCCGTGGTCGCCGTCGTCGTCGTCGTCGTCGCCGTCGTCGTCGTCCTCGTCGTCGTCACAGGCGTCGTCTTCGTCGTCGTCGTCGTGTTCGTCGTCGTCGCCGTCGTCGTCGTCGTCGCCGTCGTCGTCGCCGTCGTCGTCGTCGTCGTCGTCGTCGTCGTCGTTGATGTCGTCGTCGTCGTCGTCGCCGTCGTCTTCGTCGTCGTCGTGGTCTTCGTCGTCGTCGCCGTTATCGTCGTCGTCATTCCCGTTGTCGTCGTCCTAAACGTCGTCATATTCGTCGTCGTCGTCATCTTCGTAGCCAGCGTCGTCCTCGTCGCCGTCGTCGCCGTCGTCGTCGTCGTCGTCGTCGCCGTCGTCGTCGACGTCGTCATCGTCATCGTCGCCGTTGTCGCCGCCGCCGTCATCGTCGTCGTCGTCGCCGTCGTCGTAGTCGTCGTCATGCTCGTCGTTGCCGTCGTCGTCGTCGTCGTCGTCGCCGTCATCGTCGTCGTCGTCGTCGTCGTCGCCGCCGCCGCCGCAGTCGTCGTCGTCGTCGCCGCCGTCGTCGTCGTCATTATGCTCGTCCTCGTCGCCACTGTCGTCGCCGTCGTCGTCGTCGCCGTCGACGTCCTTGTACTCGTGCTCGTCGTCGTCATCGCCGTCGGTGTAGGTCGTCGTTGTCCTCCTCGCCGTCGTCGCCGTCGTCGCCGTCGTCGTCGCCATGGTCTCCTTCTTCGTCGTCGTCGCCGTCGTCGTTGCCGTCGTCGTCGTCGTCGTCGCCGTCGGTGTCGGTCGTCGTCGTCGTCCTCGCCGTCGTCGCCGTCGTCGCCGTCGTCGTCGTCGCCGTCGTCGTCGGCGTCGTCATCGACGTCGTCGTCGTCGCCGCCGCGGCCGTTGTCGCCGTCGTCGTCGTCATAATCATCGTCGTCGCCGTCGTCGTCGCCGTTGTCGCCGCCGTCGTCGTCGTCGTCGTCACGTCGTCGTCGTCGTCGTCGCCGTCGTCATCGTCATGCTCGTCGTCGTCAACGCCGTCGTCGTCGACGCCGCCGTCGTCGTCATGGTCTCCGTCTTCGTCGTCGTCGCCGTCGTCGTTGCCGTCGTCGTCGTCGTCGCCGTCGGTGTCGGTCGTCGTCGTCGTCCTCGCCGTCGTCACCGTCGTCGCCGTCGTCGTCGTCGCCGTCGTCGTCGGCGTCGTCATCGACGTCGTCGTCGTGGCCGCCGCGGCCGTTGTCGCCGTCGTCGTCATAATCATCGTCGTCGCCGTCGTCGTCGCCGTTGTCGTCGCCGTCGTCGTCGTCGTCACGTCGTCGTCGTCGTCGCCGTCGTCACAACGCCGTCGTCGTCGACGCTGCCGCCGTCGTCGTCGTCGTCGTAGTCGCCGTCGTCGTCGACGCTGCCGCCGTCGTCGTCGTCGTCGTCGTAGTCGCCGTCGTGGTCGCCGCCGTTGTCTCCGTTGTTGTCGTCGCCGTCGCCGTCGTCGTTCTCGTCGTCGTCGCCGCCGCCGTCGTCGTCATCTTCGTCGTCGTCGTCGTTTTCGCCGTCGTCGTCGTCGTCGTCGCCGTCGTCGTCGTCGTCGCCGTTGCCACCGCCGCCGTCGTCGTCGTCTGTCGTCGTCGCAGGCGTCGCCGTCGTCGTCGTCATTGTCGTCGTGCACGTCGTCGTCATCGCCGTCGCCGCCGCGCCGCCGCCGCCGCTTTCGTCGTCGTTGTCGTCGGCGTCGTCGCCGTCGTCGTCGTCGTCGTCGCCGTCGTCGTCGTCGTCGTTGCCGTCGTCGGTGTCGTCGTCGTCGCCGTCGTCGCCGTCGTCGCCGTCGTCGCCACCGCCGTCGTCGTCGTCGTCGTCGCCGTCGTCTCCGTCGTCGTCGTCGCCGTCGTCATGCTCGTCTTTGTTGTCGCCGCCGCCGCCGCAGTCGTCGTCGTCTTCGTCGTCGTCGTCGCCGGCGTCGCCGCCGCGACCGCCAACTGGCGCCAGCGCCGGCCGGGAGGAGAAGGGAGGGGTTCGAACCCCCGTCGTTCTCGTCGTCGCTCTCGCCGCCGCCGACAGCCGCCGCTGGCGCCGGCGCCGGCCCGGGGGGAGAGAGGGGCCGCCGCTGGCGCCAGCGCAGGCCCTTGTTCTTGAAACAGGGGGGCCGTTTCCAGAGCCCCCTCACCCCTTCGAGCGCCCACAGAACGCGCTCTTTCTGCGGTCGGTATACTCAATCGTGATGCGCCGCTCTTGCGCTTAACATACGGGCCGCGTCAGCCTCGGGCCCAGGGGGGCTACTTCGGCATGGCGCAGACAAGGCCTGGATTCTGCTGATACGGGAGCCCCGAACACAGGAGGTGCTCGGCAAGGGCGGTCACCCCAGTGGCCCTGCCAGCTTCCATCGGGCCAATTCTCCGTCTCCGACTTATGTTTGACGGCCCCCAGACGCTCGAGCTACAAGCTGCCGTGTCAGAGCGCCACGTGCGGGCCAAAATCCTGGCGAGAGTTGCCCGCGCTCTGGGCACAGACATCGAGGCGAACCGCAGCCCCGCCACCCCGCCCTCCACCACTACCACCACGGAGGAGGACAGAGAAGGATGAAGAGGAGTAGGAGGAGGAGGAGGAAGAGGAGGAGGAGGAGGGTGAGGATGAGGATGCGGCGGCGGCGGCGGCGGCGGCGGCAGCGGTGGAGGAGAAAGAGGCAGAGGCGGCGGCTGAGAAGAACGACACGCAGCGGCCGGAGGCTGGGGCTGAGGCCGAAGCGGAGGGGGCAAGGTTGACCCGACGCCGACGGCCGCGCCAGCGCGCTGAGCCACGGCGGGCGCGGGGCCAGCGGGCGAGGACGAGGCGGCGGGGCGGCGCGGAAGGCGGCAGCGGACTCGGCGCGGAAGGCGGGAGCAGCACCGCGGGCGCCGCGGCGAGGCGCCGTCGCCGGCTCCGACGCCAACGCCCGAACCGCCGCTGACGCCAGCTCGGACGCCAACGCCAACAACCGCGCCTGCGCCAGCCCCGGGGCCGAGGCGGCAGAGACGGCGGGCCGCAGTTGTTGGAAGGCGGCCGCAGGCGGGCTGCTGCTGGCAGGGCGCGGCTGGGCAGGGAGCGAGGGCGCCGCTAACCCCGAAAAGCCGCCGCAGAAAGCTGGACGCGGTGGCCAGGGGCCAGGGGAGCTGCCGGGCCCGCGCGAAGCGCGAGGGCGCGGCTGGCCACGCAGCCCGAAGCCGAGATCTGTGAAAAACAAATTGACTCGTCGGAGATCCGCGGCGCGTTCCGCACCTGGCTGCAGAAGCCCCCCAAGGAAAGGAGTGCCCTCTTCTTGGCGGTGCGCACCAGCTGGCACAAGCGCCCCTAGATGGCCCAAAACGCACCCTCAAGGCCCAAAGGCCCCAAAGAGGCCCCCAAGAGGCCCGAAGAGGCCTCCAGAAAGCTCTCAATAAGCCCCCAGGATGCTTCAGCGACGATTTGACTGCACGCGCTCCGGACGTGCACCCCGCGAAGCGAGAGGAATCTTCTGCTGAGCCATCACCACCATCACTATTCTTGGCGGCGCGCACAAGGAGGGGTGGGCTTCTGAAAAGGAGGCTGGCGGCTTCTCCAAGTCGCTGACCCTACATCTATAAATAAGGCCCGCGCCTTCTGAGCAACGGTGCTTCTGAAGAGCCCTCGATCCCGTCCCCACACCTCCCTCTCGCGCGTGGCTGAGGATTGCGGCGGACCTCGCCAGTCCTCCAAGAAGTCGATCGCGTTGGCTCCGACTTCGCCGCCAGCGTCTTGCTGAGCAGCGGCAGGGCGCGTGGGCACTGCTCGCCAGTCTCGGGCTCGCAGGGCCCACCGCCGTGGCTGATCGCGGGGGGCTTCGGTTGTGTAGGTTTGAAACTCGTTTCGAAACCGTAGGTTCTTGGGAGTGTTGGGGGAAACCTCAGCCATTTTCCCCTGCCCTTTTGAGTGGGGGGCTCAAGGGTGGCTCCCACAGCGGGCTCGCCCCGACGCGCGAGCCTGGGCCCCCCCGACGTGGGGCCCCGCCACGGGCGCACGGTGGCGCCCCATGCCGCTGCCAGTGGCCATGGCGCTGGTGCCGGCCCTGGCCGGCCTCCTGGCGCACGGACGGCCGCGGGCGCTGCTGCCCCCGGCGCTGGTGCTGGCCCCGGCAGGGGCGCTGGAGTTCTGGGACGACTTCTGGGACTACGTGCCTGATCGGCGCCGCAGGGCGGCGAAGCAGGCCAACGCCAGCAGGACGGACAGAAAGCAGAAGGCCAACCTCAGCATGGCGAACGAGAGCTCCTGCGGCGCCAACTCCAGCAACGTGACGAACGGGTCGGTCGGCCCGCCCGACGACGCGGGCCCGACTGACAACATTGGCGACGGGGATGGCTACGACGACAGCAACGACGAGTTCCCCGGCGTCTTCATCCTCGGGCACCGCTTCGTGGCCTCCTTCTTTGTCGTCGTGGAGGCCCCACTGGACGAAGGAGGATTCCTCAGCGACCCAGTCAGGCGAGCAGGCCGCTTTCTCTTCGGACCGAGCTGGGACACCTTCATCTTGGGCGGGCGGATTGCTTTCGGTGTGGTGCTCGTCCTCTTGTGTTTGACAATGTGTGTGTGGCTGATGGAACTCATCCAGCGGGCATGCGTCCCTCTCTGTGCAGTGGCCGGTTTCCTCAGAGGCGCGTGCTGCCGCAAGGGCCAGCGTACTATACCTGTGACGACGGCCGACCAGATCAACCGCGACCCGCAGCAGGTTCAGCTCTACGGCCCGGGTCTGGAGAAGGAGCCACCGACGAACTTCTACCGTGACCTGAAGACCGCCCTCCGCGCGGGCAACCCTCGCCACGTGGTCTTCTCCGTGGACGGCCAGGCGGCACGCGTCCCGCTCAAGTGGAGTGACGCGCGGACGAACGCCCACGGCCTGATCATCGACTACGACACCGTCTACGGGGCCACCTCACGGCGACTGAGGAAGGACTTGGAGAGGGCGGCCACCAAGAGGCTCCACCTCTGCCGCAAGGTGGGCCCCTGCCAGGAGTGCGAACCGCTGAAGGCCCACCTGCAGTCCTACGCGGTGGTCGCGGCCGACGCGGTGGTCGACCTCGACGACCTCGCCGAGCACACTCCGCTCGGCTGGTGCTGCGTCCGCACTTCGCGGGGCATCCGCGGGATCCCAGGCTGCGCCTGGGGCCTCATCCGAGGCGCCGGTGGCCTCTGCTGCCTCCCCTGCTGCTGCTGCCCGCGCCGCAGGCGCAAGCCCACGACGCCCGCGGAGGAGGGCCCCAGGCCGCGCGACGAGTCGGACACCGAGGACGAGGGCATCCCCTGCATGGCCCATCGGGTGGGCTGGCGGCACGCCGAGACGGGCCGGGTCACGCTGCTGGCCCCGCGGGTGCAGTGTGGCGACAAGGCGCTCGAGGAGAACACCACGCTCCTCACCGACGACGCCCGCGTCAGCCCCCTGACCGCCGGGACGCAGCAGGAGCAGGCCCCCCTCTGTGCCCACCACGCTGCTTTGTACCAGGGGATGCGGCGTGCGCAAGGCTGCGCCAAGGCCAAGTGCAACTCCCTGGGCTACGCACGGCGCGACGGCATCATGCTGTGCAAGCCGCACTACGACGAGAGCCAGCAGGAGAAGCGCCGGGAGGCGCAGGCCCTCCAGGAGGCACGCGACGCAGCCCTTTCCACCACCTTGGCCCACGCTGGGTCCCAGGGCACGCCGCCCCAGCCGCCGCCGCCTCAGCACGAGGGAGCAGCTCCGGGGCCCCCCTCGCCCCGTCCCCCGCAGCCCCCGCCCGGTGAGGCCCCCCGGGGGGGCGGGAGCCAGTCGAACCCCCGGCTCTCCATCGCCGAGCTCGTCTCCCGCCTCGACGGCGCCGACGGGGCCCCCACCAGCGCGGTGCCCTCTCCGCCGAGCGGGATGGAGTGCCTGCGGGAGTACCTCCGCGACCGCGAGCTCCACCCCGAAGAGGGAGACGCCGGCGCCCAGGAGAGGCTCCTCAACCGGTACGACTGGGACCAGACCCAGGACGTGCTGAAGGTGCTGCTGCGAGGTGCTGAGGAGTACGAACGAGATGGGGGGCGCGGTCTGCGCGCGCTCGAGGGCGAGTGGCGCAGCCAGCTCCGCCGACTGCGCGACGGCTACCAGGAGGAGGTGCGCCCCACCTTGGCTCCGCCCGCACCGCAGGCCCCCCCGGGCCTCACAGCGAGCATCGCCCACCCCTTCGGTGGCGGCGCCCCCACCTGGGGCGTAGGCCCCGCGCCTGCGACGAGCCCTGCAACCCCACGGCCCCTGCTGCCGCCTGGCGCCCCCGCCGCCTCTGCGCCGCTGCCCTCTCTGGTCGGGCGTGGCCGGACCGACCTCTACCACAACCTGGTGGGCCCCATCCTGGCCGACGGGACGCGGCGCGCCCCCCCGGGCGAGCGACGCGCTGGGGTCGGAGGGGAGATCGGCCCCACCGGCGACAGCGAGATGGCAGCCGCCCTCAAGGACATCGGTCTCGGCATCGAGAGCCTCGTCAAGCACAACAGTGAATCCAAGAGCTCCAAGGGCACGCCGCAGGGCTTAGGACGAGAGGAGACGGCCCTCGTCTTCCTCGCGCGGGCCTGCAACCGCTTCAACGTCCAAGTCTGCCCCTCCTACACAGGCACGTCCCTCTACCATGCCATCAAGGAGGCCTTCGTCACATCGAAGGGCGAGCTCTCGGGCCTCGGTTGGCCCACCTGCGTCACGTCACGCCTCGCCCTCGGACTCGCAGGCCTGTACTTCGGCGCGCGGGACCAGCACTCACTTCTACCGCACTACTTGAGCGTGGCGGACTTCCCGAAGCACTCCCAGGAGGAGCACGACAACCACGTAGTCCCCCAGGACGACCGCCTCGAGGCCCGCCCCCGGGCTCCCGCTACGCTGGCCCAGTGGGTGAAGCAGGCGCAGAACCACGCCAGATGCTTCGCGCTGATCTACGGTTGGGAGCACTACCAGGAACGAGCCGACGCCATCGAGAAGCTGGAGAAGCTGGCCGAGGAGGACTCCGACGTCTTTCCCCGCGAGCGCATCTACGGCTGGTTCGAGGAGCTCAACTGGCGCTGGCGCGAGGATCTCAAGGACGTATACCGCCAGCTCCTTCGGATATCGGGCAAGGAGTGGCTACGCAAGGAGCAGATCGAGTTCATGGCCCTCACGCCCGACAGTGACGGCAACCCTCTCCTGCGCATGCCGACTTGTTTCAAGCTCGACCTGGAGGACGCCTGGTTCAGGAAGACCATCCTGCCACACCTGGAGCGGCAGCACAGCCGGACACTCTGGCGTCTCACGCACAAGGCCCTGAAGGCACCAGGAGATGCTCGAGGCGCAGGTGCCGAACCAGGAGCCGAGGGGAGCCCCCGCAGGGCCTACCCCGCGGGCAAGCGCCTGCCGCCCCGGGAGGCCGCCGAGTCGGTCACCCACGCACCCATCGATGAGATAGCCAAGAAGCCCTACTGCTGGGGCGCGGCCACGCACTGTGGCTGCCAGCGGACAGCCGCCGAGTGCGGCCACTCGCATCGCCCATTCAAGGGCACCCTCCAGCAGCAGCATTGGACAGTGCAGGCCCAGCTGATACGCCGCGGGGGCTTGAAGGGTGACAAGCCCATCCCCCCTACCGAGGTCGACGGCCGCATCAAGCAGCTTCGGGAAGCCGCTCACGAGGAGGCAGCCCAGAAGGTCCGTGAAGGGGTGGCCCGCCGAGGGCAGGCAGGCCGCGGCGCCGGCGACGCCTCAGGGGCCCCCCCGCGGAGCATCAGGTGGGCTCCCCCGGAGGAGCTCGTCAGCTTCGCCCCCACAGCAGCCGAGAACGAGCTCACGAAGACCTTGCGCGGCCCGGACTACGACTGGGAGCGCGACGTCGACCCCCCCGGGCCTGACACCGCGAGAGCCGTCGAGGACACCACCGCCGAGTCCCCCGAGGACGTTGGAAGAAGGCGCGAGCAGATCGCGAAGATCGCCTCGCTCCCCGAGGTAGGTCCGCTCGAGCAGTGCAGCCATCACCTCCAGTCCTACGTCAAGGGGCGCCTCCTCCACAGCTCGCTCAGGGGCGAGGACATCACTGTCGAAGGCGTGCTGGACGAGCTTGTCCGCGGAGGCCCCGCCGCGCTCGCCGAGGAGGCGGGCGACTACCTGGATCAGCTCCGGCGCGCAGGGGGGGGCCACCTTGGACCCGGCTCGGGCTACGCCGAGGTTCTGCAGCCCATCTGGCCCGCGGACGGGGGCTGCGGGATCGGCAAGCTCCTCGTGGCCGGCCTCGAGCTGGAGACGGCAGACTACCGCGACTCCATCCACGTGTCGCCCGGCCTCGGCGAGGCCCTCCAGCTCGGCGACCAGGAGCTGGAGGAGCGCCAGTGCATGGTCATCCACATCGCAGCCGGCCTCCTCGACATCGAGGCCACGAGAGGGGACGCCCAGGCGCCCGACGCCGCCTGGCCCCCTCCCACCACGGACACGCTTGCTCTCGCAGCCGACCTGAGGGAGGAGCTCTGGGCAGGGGCCTCCGAGGCCACCCGCGCCCTGGGCGAGACCCCAGAGAAGCTTGACAGAGCCGAACGTGAGGTGCGGGGCTACATACACGACGTACTCCACCCTCATCATAATAAGGACTACCGTTCGCTTTGTGCGTTCCCGCTCGAGCCCCTCAGCAACGTGGTCCTCAATTTCATTCGGGTCGACTCCCTGGGGCGCGTCAACTTCGAGAGCGTGTCAGGAGCAGCGGCCAGCCCAGAGTCACCGCACTGCTGGTTGCTCATCCACCGACGGCACATGCGGCTCATCAAGCTCGGGCCCGACATCGACCGAGCCACACTGTTGGCGGACTTTGCCCAGCATGCCAGCACCTGGGGGGGCAGCCCGCCGACCGACTACGTGGCCATGGGCTGGGAGGTTCTCCTCGACCAGGCGAAAGAGTGGGCGCCCGAAGCGTTCACCCCCCAGCCCAGGACCTGCCTTTGCTGCAAGTACATCAAGAACAGGCAAGGAGACGGAGCACGTGTCGCCGGGGACGTGGCCCCCCTGGAGCCCCTCAACGACGACTACACCTTCCTGACGATCGCCGGCTGGGGCCTCCAGGCTTGGAGCCCCTACTGCAGAAAGGAGCACCCTATCCCCGAGTCCGTCACCGTCCCGGGGGACAAGCTCATCGCCCAGGAGATCATGGCGGGCACTGGGCGGTGGACTCAGGCCTGGAGGTCCCGCGGCCTGGAGGCCAGGGATCCCATCGAGTACTACGAGGATCCTCTGAGGAAGCAGGGGCCCCGCGAGGACCACAACGTGCTCCTCAAGCCGGTGCAGGACCGCCTCCTCGAGGACATCAGCAGGGGCGACGTGAACGTCATCGGTCTCGAGCCCGTGTGCACCAGCTTCTGCTCTTGGATGCGTTGCAATGGCGGGGCGCGTACCATGGCCCAGCCAGAAGGCGTCGAGCCCCTCCTCGCCTCCGAAGTCACAGGCAACACAATAGCGGAGTTCTCGGCGCGAGCTTTCAAGAAGGCTCTCGACATGCAAAAGTTCGCTTGGGCCGAGAACCCAGCCCCCGACGGGATCTATCCCTCTATCTGGGATACCAAGTGGTGGAGACCGCTCCTCGACCGCAAGGACGTGATGATTATCCCCTTTGATTTCTGCGAGCACGGCCACGGCCCCGAGGACGACCCCACGGCGCGCTACCGCAAGCGCACGTGGATCGTCGCCCGTGCCTCGCAGCAGTTTGCGCGCTGGATTGCCAAGCGGCGCTGCGGGCAGCATCGCCACGTGTCGCTGGAAGGCCATGCTCCAGGTTCGGCTATCCGGCGCTGCCGCACCTCACAGGTCTACCCCTGGCCGTTCGTCGAGAACCTCACCCAGGGCATCCTGGCGGGCGTCTTACCAGGAGGCCTGCGCACCTCAGGGTGCGAGACTACCGATGTGCTGGACGGTGGGGAGGCCCCCCCCCTTGCTTCAATTTCGGCGAGCTCATTGGATTTGCAAGGAGGGATGGCACAGGAACCGAGGCCGCCCGACGACAGCGCGAGGCGCGTGGGCGACTCGGGGGAGGCCAGGGCGCTGATCAGGCGCTTCGCCCTCGCCTACGTCGCCTATGCCAAGGCCCAGCCGACAGGCACGGTGGACGCCTGGAGGGGAGCCGCCGCTCGTGGCGAGGCACTGGTGGAGCTGGCGGACAGCGTGGAGGAGGGCGCCCGCGCCCTCTTCAAGGCTAGGAGCGACCTGGGCCTGGACAACCTGAAGGGCATTTTCGACTCGGACCTGGACCGCCACCTGGCCCCGGACGCGCTGCTGCACTTGCGGGACCAGGCCGGGCACGGCGTGGCCGCGAGGGACACGGGCATCAAGGTGAGAGAGGAGTGCAAGCCACATCAGAGCGCAGCTGACGTCTTGGACCAGTGCTACGAGGGCTCCTGGAAAGACGTCCACGCCGCCCGTGTCCTCGTCCTCCCCAGGCGCCGACGCGACCTCCTACAGGGGGTCCGCTCCTCACCGCAGGGAGCGGTCCCCAAGCAGAACCCCGATAGGACGCTCTCCCTGGAGAAGAGGCTCATCCACGACCAGAGGCGCGTCAACGAGACCACGGACAAAACAGGGCACCCTCCCGCGGCACAACCGTTCCATCGACAGCTCGCCAGGTTGATCGTCTGGTGGTCAGTGGTGCTACCGCGTATCCCCATACTCCTATCGAAGCTGGACGTCAAGGGAGCCTTCAAGCTGCTCTGGGTCGACCCCCAGGACGTCGGCACCTTCGCCACCGACCTCCCTTGGCACCCGGAGGCCTGCTCAGCGCCCAGGGACCCTGAGGAGGCCCCCGCACCGCAGACGACCGACCCGGACACGCAGCTCGACCAGCAGGTGCAGCTTTGCCTGGATAGGGGCCTCACCGAGGGCCTCACGCTCATCTCACTGGTTCTCACCTTCGGCTGGGCTGGAAGCCCAGGCGAGTGGACACCTTGGGGCGACAGCGTCGCAGCGGTCCACAGCCAGCATGCGCCGGGGATCCCGGCTTGGGAGGGGCCCTTCAAGTTCCAGTCGTACATTCTCATGGACGACCTCGTCTTGGTCGAGCCCGCCCTTGGCATGCGCCCCTGGACGTCCAGATCGCTGGCCGAGAAAACCATCGAGAAGCTGCTGGGCCCAGCCGCCGTCAACCAAGACAAGAAGCACCAGGAAGGCTACTTCTCGACGAACAAGATCGCTTGGGGACTGGAGTACCGCACCGACGAGATGCAGGTGGCCATCCCCGAGCCGCGGCTATGGAAGGGTGCCTACCTACTTAGCGACACGTGCTACGACAGCGGCTACAAGGGCGCGAGGCTCCGCGACATGCAGGTGTTGAGAGGCACGGGCACCAGCTGGATGGCGGCCATGCCGGCTCTGGCGACCGAGCTGAGAGCAGTGGACGCCTTCCTTACACCACAGGCCGACGGGATTCTGAGGCCCAAGGTCGAGCCGGGGGCGGAGGAAGCAGCATGGCAGGACCTGTGGGACACTTGCGAGCTACTACGACTCCTCCTCGCCCGGCCCGAGGTATGGGGCGAGCGCTTCACCGTCTCCATGTACACTCTCCTGGACGTGCGCGAGCGCCTCGCGCTGCCCGGCGAAGCAGCCAAGGTCGTCTGGGTCACCACCGACGCCACCACGTCCGTTGCCTTCGGCGCCGACTGGACCGAGAAGATCTACCTGCGGCAGGACCTCAAGGACTACAAGGGCATGCTCGGCGAGGCCCTCGGCGACTCCGACGACAGCACGGTCGAGATCGCTCTCGGCGAGGCCATGGCTTACATCGTCCTAGCCGGGCGTCAGGGACCATCGTGGAGCGGACGCATCGTGCTCCTGGCAACGGACAACATGGCATTCACGAACTGGCTCAAGAAACGACACCCTCGACCTCGACTCGTACGCCACCTTTTTAGGATTCTGCACTACCTTGAGTGCAAGTACAACTTCATGACGATCGGCCATTTCTTCCGTACCTACCACAACGTCACGGCGGACTTCGGCTCCAGGGCCAGCCAGGAGGAGGTCAAGCGCCGCATGGACGAGCTGGGCCTCTCGAGCGTCGACGCGGCGCATGAGTGGGCGGACCTCGTCGCTAACGGAGTTCGCCGCAGGGTGCTCCGCTTGCTTGGCGGCGACGCCGAAGACGGCCGGATCGCCCTCCAGCTCCGTGAGGCCCGCCTGAAGAGGAGGTTCAGAGAGGTCCCCCTCGCCACGGCCCCGGGGAGGGCCCTCGAGTGGGGCCTAGGAGCAGGTTTCTTCTCCAAGATCTGGACGGGCCTGGGGGGCACGGCGCACACCGCGCCCATCGGCGAGGACCCAGACCCCAGCGCGGGCCCCGTCTGGGCGATCCTGGCGACGCTGGGCCCAGACCCCACGGGGCGCAGCGCCTGCAAGGCGGCCAGGCAGGCCGCCCGCCTGGGCGCCCAGCGGATCGCCCTCGACGCCCCGCGGCAGCTGCCTCTGGGCGAGGCCGCTCGCAGTAGCAGGGCTTCACGGTGAGCACCGAGGACCTCCTCGCGACCGAGGTCGGGGAGCTGGTGGCGCGCCGTCGTGCCCTCCTGCTGGGCACGAGGCACGTGGGCGACGAGCAGCAGGCATGGACGTTCGACACCCTCGACCTCAGGCGCCCGATCGCGCCCGCGGTTGGCCCCGTGCTGCAGCCCCCGAGCGCACTGCCGCCCGACGCATGGCTGCTCCACGCCCGCTTCGAGGCCGACCCCCGCATGCGGAGAGCGGAGGACCGGCTCCTCCCAGTGGGCGTCGGCCACCTCTGGACGGACAAGGGACGCGAGGTGGTCTACAGCACGGGCGGACCCCTCCCGACCATCCAGGCCGACTGGACGACACACCCACCGCCCCTGATCCGGGATTTCAAGGGCCCGGGGCACGGGGTCAGGCGCGTCACGCTGGAGGAGAGCTGGCTCGCCGTGGGTGGCACCCTAGAGGACTTCCCCACGCCCCAGGACGACGCCACGGCCGCACATGTCACGAGGCTCATCGCGGGCGACACGGGGGCCCGACTCGCCGGAGCCGTCGCCCTCTGGGCGGGAGCTGCATTTGACTGGGAAGCGAGTGCAGGCGCTTGCCTCGACCTCGACGCGCAGGCCAAGGAGCGTGGCATGCGCGAATGGCTCGCACGCTGGAGGCAGGGTCTACTGCCCGGGCGCCCGCCACCGGCCCCCCTCCCGCACGCCGCGCCGGGGCTACCGCCAGCACACCCCGGAGAGCCTGGCCGCCACGCAGGCGGCAGCACCCCGGGAGAGGGGGCCGACTGCCGCCCCCCGACGCGCTGCGCCATCTTCCGCCCGGCTGACGGGGGTATCGACGCACGCGCGGCGGCTCTCGCAGCGGGCCTCGTCTGGCAGGACATGGGCGGCACCCAGGACGAGCACGACGCCGCTCGCGCCGCCGGGGCGTCGGCACTGCCCGAGATCGCCAGGCCCCCTCGCAAGCAGAAGATGCCCCAGCTGGGACTTGTCTCCATTTCGGCCCCCGAGCACCTCGTCGACCTGGCGCCGGACGTCCCGGTGTTCGCAGAGGTCCAGGAGTGGGTCCACAAGAAGTTGGCCAGCGGGCTGGCGCACAGCACCCGCACCAGCTACGGCGAGGCCTGGTCCAAGTGGCTCTGGTGGTGCACCCGCAGGGGTATCCCGCCGCTGTTCGAGGGCGACTCCAAGAGGCAGGTGACCGAGGACGAGGAGGAGCTCCTGCGCTTCATCGGCTACCTGGGCTGGCTGGGCAAGGGCAACGGCACCATCCTCAGCACCCTCTTTGCACTCCAGGGCGGCCACGTGCGGGCAGGAGGCGGCGACCCTCTCGTCGGGAAGAAGCGCATCAAGGTCCTCATCTTTTTTTTTGGCCTCCGCTGCGGCGGCCACAGGCCGGACGCCCGCCGCGCGCCCCCGCCGCGCGCGCCCGGTCCGCGGACCCCCGCGGCGCCCCGGCTCACCCCCCCCCAGAGAGAAGTGGGCGAGGCGGAGCGCAGGGTGCCTCCGTCTAGGGTCGGGTCTTTCACCGCCCTTCGTAAGGCTCCCCTTGAGAAAGAAGAGAGCTCGCAGCCCACGCCGACCCACCCGCCCTAAGGCGCCCCTCGGCGACGGCGCCTGCCCTCGAATAGGAGGGCGGCCCCCCCAGCCAAATGGAGACGCTAGGGCGACGGCCCCGCGTGCGCGGCCAGCAGATAGAGAACAGGGCAAGAGAAGCAACAAGTGCAAGCAAAACAACAGGCACCACATGATGCAAACAGATGGATACAATGAGAGGACAACAAGCATGCAACATCGCACCGCTGCTCCCCTTCTCCGAGTGCATACCACGCAAGAGCGGCGACGAGACGAGGGACAACACAAAAAGCCAACGAGACGACGGAGAGGGCGACGACGACGACGACGACGACGACGACGACGACGCCGACGACGACGACGACGACGACGACAACGACGACGACGACGCGACGACAGAGACAACAGCCCCCTCGCAGGTCAGCCGAAGTCTGCCTGACAGAGGCGGGCACTGGACGACAGCCCCCCCCCCAGAGGTCAGACGGGAAGCGTGCTCCTCCAAACGATAAAGTCAGACCCAACGATCGCAAAGGGACGTCGCGGCATAGTTGCACTGCACACACACACACACAAGCCGAGAAGCACACCCACACACACATGCCGAGAAGCATACAACAAGAGAGAATGTGCGAGAGGCGATACCGTCAAATCAAACGAGGTCATTGGGACCACAAAGGGCCGCATCACCACTGTGAGGCAGGAAAAGGACGCAACACGGGCCGCAGGGGCCGCAACACCACAGTGAGGCAGACACATGCACGCAGTACGGGCCGCAGGGGCCGCATCACGACAGTGAAGCAGGAACAACGCATGGACTTTTGCACGCAGCTGCACACCCTCACACACCTGCTGGGAAGCATACAACAAGATAGAATGTGCGATGGGACCCAACAGTAAGGCAGGATTTTGCACGCAGACCGGGCCGCAGGGTCCGCATCACCACTGTGAGGCAGAGAAAGCGCAGAGGAGAAGCAGGACAGGCAAGCAGGCACGGTGGGAAGCGCGCGCACGCGGCGCGGGTAGCAGAGGATCCAAGCCGCATTTTGCCACCGCGCGCACGCGGACCACAGTCGACCTGCGCGCTCGCCCCCCCTGGGCGCAGGCCACGACGGTGCCGATCCACGCCTGGCACCCCCCTGCCCAAGCACCGGTCAGGGGCTCACGCCGGGCGCCCCGCAAACAGGCCGGGCCTAATGATGCATGGCACCAGTCATGGCCAAGAGCACGGCCGTGGCAACAAAATGGACATGCTCACGGCGCTCCGCTGGCGGGCGGCACTGGTGGAAGAGAAACTGAGAAACCTGGGCAGGACAGGAGGGAGGAGGCAAGGGGAGGCGAGACCACAGAGCGGACCTAAGTTCAGCCGAGGCTGAGCAGGAAAAGAGGGCATGCCACACATCTACGTCACGCGCGCCACAAGCCCCACAACGGGGCAGCGTAGAAACGCAGAGCGGGGCCCCCAGCACTTGGAGAGGCCAGCATCCAGACATTCGCACCACAGACCAGAGGCGGAACTGGAGCCAGGAGCCAGGGCCAAGTGCCAAATCTAAAAGGTTCCAGTGCGTTCCCGGCGGGCCGGACAGCCACGCCGAGAACGGGAGACGAAAGACAGGCAGGGCATCTGCAGTAGCCCGCTGGAACGAGAGAAGATCCAGCTTAAGGAGTGCAGGGCGGACGATATAAAACTTGTAGCTACGGAGGAGCAGACGGCGCGCTGCAGGATCAGCGCGCGCCTTGGCGCACGCCGGAGGTCCGGCGAAAGGCCACTCTACCACGTCAGGAAGGGGAGGGTCCAGAGAGCACATCCACGCCCGGACCGCGCTCGCCCACGTGGAGCAGCTCGTGCCCGAGGCCACTGTCAGCATACTGGCACCCGGGTGCTCGGCGGGCAGGAGGAGCAGCCTTGCGCAAGCGAGGACCGTACGCTCAAGCATCTTAGTGCCCAAGCGCAGCTGCCACCCACACTGCGCTACGACAACCGCGCCGGGCAATTCTGGGCCGATAGCGCAGCCGAGCAAACGCCGTGCCCAGGACGCTTGCAAATGATCGAGTGAAAAACGCGCCCGCTCGGCCAGGAAGAGGAACGGGGAGGGGTAGAGCAAGGCAGACTCCACGCGCGACGGCACTTGGGCACACAGGACTGGGAGACCAAAGCCCCCAGACCCGCCGGCGAAAAACAGCGCCTCGAACAGCTCATGACCTTTGGCCAGCGTAGCCCGAAGCAGGGGGCGGAAAGAGAGCCGGGAGTCAAAGAGCACCCCCAGCAGGGCCTTAGTATCCACCACTGGGCAGCCGATGTCCCCCGGTGGGGGGCTGTCAAGGATCACCATGGCCGCGGTTTTCCCCGTCTTGTAATTAAACATGGACCGGGTGCGGCTTGCGTACCGCGAGCAGGCTGACCATGGCTCCCGCGACACGATGGCTCGGAGAGCCCCCGGTGAGGATGTGGCAACCGCGAGGTCATCAACAAACTGCAGTGGGGGCAAAAGGCCCGTGCCCAGGCGGTCCATCAAGTAGGCCCTGTCGGCCTCAGAAGCTAGCCGGAGGGCACCGCGCAGCAACGCGCGCTCGGCACTCGGGAAGGGCGCCTGCTCCGCGGCAGCTGCCGACGCCACCTCGACAGCCAAGGCTTCGAGGTCGCCCCCAACCGCTGGCGGCGCTGGCCCACACGCGGCAGGGGAATCAGGCACAGGAAGCGCTAGGCACAAACGCCGCAGGTGGGGCTCAACCCAAGCAGCACAGCTCCCAGGCAGCACGCGATACACCTCCTCCGCCAGCCACTTGAGCTGCGCGTTGAAAACACCCACGCTGAACCTACGGCCCTGCGCCGTGCCGCCGCCAAGCGAAAACAAAGAAGAGATGTGGCCGCGAAGCGCAATGTACTGGTTGTCGGACGACATAAAATCGTCAAGGAGAAGCCAATCATGGCCACGGACACCTGCTTCGTAGGCATTCAGGAGCATGGCGGGGTGGGAGGCAACATCAAACGCCCACTGAAGATCCGTGACCGCCCAATATGTGGGCAGGCCCTGGGCACAGCGGAGTTGGGCATGAAGGAGAAGAGCCAGGAGGAGAGAGAGGGGGTCACCCACTCCGCCCTGTTGGGCCACTCCGCAGTATGCCTGTAACAGCGGGGCGTTGCGCAACGTCCACAAGCCATCCACGACAGACGTCATGACCGCCGAAATAGAAATCGGGCGCAAGCACAAAGTGGAGCGGACGACGCGGGGGCCCGACTTGTGCAGGGGAGTCACCTGCCGGCTCGACCACAGGGTGCTCGTAATGGCGCACTGCCGGGAAAGGTTCGCGAGGGCTAGGGTAACCCTGCGGCCCTCTGGCACCGCCGACCGGACAGAAGCGAAACACCCGCGGAGCGCGGAGGAGGTGGTCTTCAAGCTGTCTAAGACGGCATCCACCTCAGTGGTCGAGTAAAGGGCGAGGCCCGGAGAGGCAGGGCCAGCGCCAACCGACCGGATCGCCGAAACCGCGCAGGCCTGCGCGCGCTGCTCCTCCGGGTTACAAGGGAAATCATTACGCACGCGGTCCATCATGTCATTCTGCAATGCCTCGAGCATCTCCTCCACACTGAGGGGGTGCCCATCGACCGGGTCGGCCAACGCAATTTCAAAGGGGTTACGCGACCGAAAAAAATCCGAAAGAAACCGCTCGGCCAAACCAGGGGAGACCGTGCGGAGGTCGGAGAAGCGCTTAAACGCCAGGTGACGCTCGGCCCACGCGGCTTGCGCAACAGCCCTTTTAAAAGCAGCTTGCGATTCGTACGCGTCGGGGTCTAGCGGAGGCCTACTCGGGCGCACGGGGGCTGCCGCGGACGCCTTAGTCGCCCCCGCCGCGAACCCAGCCAGCACGTAAATCACGTCGCGCGCCCAAGCGGCCGCGTCCAATAAAGCGCGGCGCTGCTTCTTAGTGGCGCCCCCCCCGCTCCACGGAGGGCGCGGCCACTCACAGGCAATGAGGGAATCGACGGCGTCAGCCAGGTACGCCAGGACAGGCGCCACGGCGAGCAGCACATCGTCCCACTGGCCATCTGTGCGCCACGCCACGCGACACAGCCCTGACAACTGCGGGGGGCGGAAGGCGCACGGGAACGAGCACGAGACCAACCGATGGTCCGAATCTACACCACTCGCATGGGCGACAGTAACAGGAATGAGACAGTGGCGCTCGGCGAGGATCAGGTCGATGCACGTGCCCGAGTCATGTGTGGCAACTGGCGGGTTGCACGCCACAAAGCCGGCGGCGGTGATCATAGCCTCGATGGTGCGGTCTTGCGCCGACTGGCGGCAGTGAAGGCAAGCACAGCCAGGAGGATGCTGCAAGACGTAGGACAGGTGGACGTTACCATCGCCACAGATCAGGACGCGCGCATCCGGGTGGCGCGCGCGTACCACAGTGACGGAGGAAACAATAGCCGACCACGTCGCCACATCGCCGCCCGGGGCGGGGTAGCACGCGCAGAAAACAAAGCACGGGCCAGGAGTCGGCGAGCCGGGAGCAGCATCACCCCAGAACTCAAACCACTGAGCGCGGTCAGAGGACAAGTCAGGGAGAGGGCGGAGGAGCGAGACAATCTCGGTGCGCACAAAAATACCGACCGCGCCCCAAGAGACCGATCGTGGGCCCAGCCACGAGAACGGGAAGCCCGCCGGCAGAACCGCCCCAGGAGGCAGGCGCGCACCCGGAAGCACGCAAATGTCGGCGCCACTCCCGGATAAAACGTGGGCGACAGCGTGGAGGCGCCACTCCAAGAACACATCAGTGCCCAGGGCCAGGAAGCCCAGGCGGCCGGGGTTCAGCACCTCCAGGCGGACGGAGCTACAGGGCTCGGGCCCCTCGGCGGGGCGCGACGGGACGGCATCCCCCAGCCGGATTCCCCCAGCGTACGGGGAGACAACTTGCCGGGGCTGCTGGCACAAGCCCGCGCGCGCTAGCGAGGGCGCGACCTCCCGGCGCAGCAGCGACGAAAGTGCGGACACCAGGGTCGCAAGCGGAGCGGCAGCCCC